ATATAGGACATTTGTAATAATTTCAAACGAATTTAAATCCGTCGAAAATTTCGTCGAAAATTTCAAACGGATTTAAATCCGTGGAAAATTCCGTCAGAAATTTCAGACGAATTTAAATCCTTCAAAAATTTCGTCAGAAATTTCAGACGGATTTAAATCCGTCGGAAATTCCGTCAGAATTTCCATTAGTTAACATTCCGTCAGAAATTCCGTCGAATTTTTGTCCGTGGAAAATTATCCGTCGGAAATTTAACTTTTTCTTGTAGTGTTCTTCCTCTTATCTTCTTCTTTTCTTTCACTTTTCTTGAAATTTTAGTTGTTTACTCCTTGTTTTTCTCCTTGGTTATGGCAAAGATGGAGTATTTTTGGCTGTTTCTTTGGCTTGGTTTATGTCTTGTTGTGAAAGGTTGTTTTTTGAGCTTTTTGGGGGGTGGTTTCACCTATTTATACTAGTTTCCACCTCTATTCTCAAATCTTCTAGATTTGTAGATATTTCTTGATATTTCCTAAGATTTTTAATAACATGGTGATTAGGTGTCCATGTTGTAGATATTTATAGGACTTTCTAGATTTTCTTTAAATTATTTAAGTATCTTAATGGTTAAGTTTCCAATTTATTTAATCATATGGTGATGAGATGTCCATTTTCTAGAATTTTGTAGAGTTATTTAGTTATCTTAATGGTTAAGTTTTCAATTCATTTTAATCACATGGTGATTAAGTGTCATTTTTTTTTGTAGAATTTTGTAGATCATCCTAGAATTTTTTAGAATTATTTAAACATCTTAATGATTAAGCATCTAATCCATTCTAGATTTCTATTTTGTAGAATTTTATAGAACTTTCTAGAATTAATTAAGTATCTTAATAATTAAGGTTCCTACTCATTAAATAATTTGGTGAGTATGTATCTACTTTGGAGAGTTTTGTAGGACTTTCTAGAACATTGTAGAATTATTAAAGTATCTTTCAAATTAATTATAATTTGGATAAACTAATATCATCATTAAACTCTTCACCATTAAAAGCATAAAATTTGGTCTCTTGATCATTTCTTAATTATGCTAATTAATATTAATTAAATTAATTAGAATTTGTTTATGTGTCATAATTTGATTGGTTAAGACTTGTGTTTTAATTTAACTTACCTAGACGTTTTTATTAATTATTCTAAGTATATTATATTAATGATAAAATTATTTAGATCCTATTGAACATTTTTCCATAACTTTCTAGCTTAAGATTTTAGCAGAATAATTTCTCCAGTTAAATCGTTAGAGAATTTCTATAAATTTTAATTTAGAGATCTTCTCTCTTAATTGTATTTATTATTGATCTACTCAATAAATTATCATTTAGGTTATAAATTACTTAAGTTTTCTTAAATTGAGTTTCTCGAATTTTATAGCGTGCTCACAACGCTGTTCAAGAAACAATCAAATTAAACAATAAAATACATGTCATTGAATTTAGAAAATCTTACTAGATAATGCTTCATAAATTTTATTCACAGTAACTTGCGTAATGTTGAATAAATATTTATCATAATAAAATATATAATAATTTACATAAATAGTTACAAAAAATTAGGATGTACGTTACAATGAGTATGTTTATACTAATTGTCACTTGCAAGATTAGATCAAACACAAGAGGAGGAGTTTGAATGGGCAGAAACCTAATACTTCAAATGGTTGTCTAGGATCTTGATATGATAGTGTGACATTGGAAATCAAAAGACTTATATTTTCTTTAGTTTAATAGAGTTTATTCATTTTTTGACTTTTATGTATTGTTAGAGTTTATATACACAACCAATTTGTGCCTCCTTTTATTTACTTTTGAGAGTTTAATCATGCTTTAAGTTAAGAGTTTTATTTTTGTTGGTTTTGTGAGCCCTTTTACTAAAATAACTAAGTCTAAATTGTTTTTAATTCTCCAATGCAAAGGTTTTTTTATATTATAATTTGAAGGTAAAAAAGTGTCACACTTATAAACATTATTTGAAAGTGCATAAAAGAATCATACTAATCGCTTTAATTGAATTGAAAATGGAATGAGTATATTACGCATAATCCTAATTAAAATATTAAATTGAGAATGCATGAACTTATAATAAATGAAGCAACCATGCTTCTTTCTTCCTTGTGATAACAATAATCCAACAAAAAGTTGGTTTGTATTTATTTATTCAAAGTAAAAATATTTCAGTAATGAATTATGATATTTCACGATTTTAATTTACTACACAAATAAACTTTAAAATAAAGGAAGAACATTGAACACACTTATTTAATATAAATAAGATTTAAGAGTAAATGTGCATCAGATTCAATTGAAACTGAGCCTATATTTGGTTGCTTCATCAGGAGTGAAGAGACCAAAATGTAGCTCAGTTTCTGCACCCGGCTTTTGGTTTTCATCAAACATGGCAAACAAAAAAGTCTCTATAGGAATACCAGGTCTCTTTGGAGTTCCACTCGTACCCGATGCATGACTAATCAAATTAGCATAGTAAGTTCCTGCATTTTCAGTAGTGGCTCCATTTCCACCATTAGATGGCCACCCACTCTCAGAAACAACTATCTGCAAATTAGACGCTCCCACTTTCTCAAGAGCAGCATATATTGAATCCACCATAGCATCAAAAAGGTTTTGGTACCCAACATCATTGTTTCCTTGTTGGGTGAAAAGAGCATATGCAAGACTAACATGTTGTTGATCATTAGCATAGGCGAAGTAGGGGTACACGTTGGCAAGAAGTGGGGTCCCATTTTCTACTAGGAATTTTATAATGGGTGTTATATATGGCATTGCATCAGCGGTGAAAGCACCATTATTGGGTGGGTAGGAGTTGGTAATCACAGTACCGTCTATCGATGTTGCCACCTTGATTTGATCTTGTAAATTTGCTGATGAAATTGCATTGTGGATGTTAGTCATGGCAGGTAGAATGTATTGGGCCACAGTGTTACTAGGGTGAACTTCGTTTCCAACATTGATGTACTTGAATTTGACGTCGTTAGAGTAAGGTGTCACGTACTTATTGACCCAGTTTGTGGCAGCATCGGAGTTTGTCAAAGATTGAATGGTTTCCCCAGCCACGTCCATGATCAACTCGATGTTTGAACCTCTAAGGGCCTCAAGTGTTTCTTCATTCGGACTGTATATACGCATTCCACCTATGCCATTCGTTTTATATAAATCCACAACTGCTTGCTTTGATGGTAGATTATCACCATTTACTCCATAGCAAACTCCTACGGAATGTGTAGCTACATAATATTTAACAAGCAAAAAGAAAAAAGGTTAGCAAGTCATTCTGACAGGATAAAGACATCAATATTACCAATAATAGGTTAAATATGGGGAGATTATTTCATGGTATTTACTAAAGTTAAAATATATAGATGTAAAGGCTAAAATACCCCCTTGTAGTTCACATAAATAATAAAAATTATTTATTGATGAGAAATTTATCTATATAAATACATTGATCATTATTTTATTATTATTTTAATAATATTTATAATATCTTACATATTAATTATAATATTATTTTACTGCAATTAAGAAATAACTATTTTTCTTATCTGTTCATATATTAAAAATATTTTATAATGAAATTGTATAGTTTTACATTATCATTAAAATCTGTTTAGTTTTGAAGTAGCAACTTTTTTCAAATAAATCTTCAAAGTAAAATTGCTAAATTTGCAATTTATCGATTATATTCATATTATAGTATATTAAAGTAATTATCTATTAACATTCCAATATAATATTGTAAAATAATATTATAATATATATTTAAAATCTCATAAATATGTTAAGAATATTAATTAAAGTGTTGATTAGAATTTTATCTTTAAAAATGACAATAGAATGTTGATTAATGTTTTTAACAAACTAATATTATATTATAACTTTTTAACTTCATTTAAAGTGAAAAAATAACATCAATAATAAATATAAACATCATTAGTTAAAGAAAAAACCGTAATAGAGTAATACTATAATTTTAAGAAATAAAAATATAATAAAAATATATTAATAGTATAACATAATATTATAAAATAAACATAATAGCGCGCGCATATATATATATATAATATTATAATGAAAAATACAAAATAAAATACAAATATTTATAGATATTCATATACGATAATATCTATAAATATTTTTATTTCTTTTGTATATTGTAATAAAACTTTTTAATTATTTTTAATATTATAATAACAATTTATTAATATATATTATTTAGTTAAAATATATGACATTAAAATAATTTTAGAATTTTTTATTTTGATTAATATCTTAATCTTATTTAAATAAAATTCAGATGTATATAATTCAAATAAAAAAATGAATAGTAGATCAACATTATTAACATAAAAAATTATTACTACAATGATAATATATTAATATTTAAAATAATATAAAGTAAGCTGTAAATAAAATAGAAAGTAATGTTATTAAAAACATAATAATAAAATAAGAAAAATATTTATACTCATACAGGTACTAGTTCTAACTATAGTTATTAATATATATTTATTCTATGTTAATTATTATTAAAATGTAAGAAATTTAAATAATTTTGTGATTTCTAGTTAATAATTATTTAAAAAATTAAAAAATAATTAGTTATTTAAAAAATTCCACTGTAAAAAAATTATTTGAATTTAAGAAAGAGAAAAAATATTTGAGCAAATAAAAGAAAAAGCAAAGATAAAAATCAAGAGTTATTAATAGGTCATAAGGACTTAATTGCAATATTTATAAATAAATGACATTCAATTTCATATTAAATGATGTATTAATTAAATACACGTGTATATATACTATTGAACAAAAATAGAGTGAGGAAACATGTTGTGTAAAATGTGTACCGAAGGAATAACTACATTATTCTCACAAGTGAGATCAAAACACTATATTTTATGTTAAAAATTAAAAAAAATTTTGAGATAAAGTATTATAGGTGGTTAAAAATTTGAAAATTTGGATGATTAAAGGTGATTAACTTATTTGAATGATTACACAAGTGATTATTTTCTAATATTATTTTTATTATTTAAAATATAAGAATAAAATCGTCCAAAAAAAATTGTGAAGACGAATGGATATATTCCTTTATATATAGGTATAGATATACCTTCATCTTAATTATTTCATGTTTCTCTATCTTATCATTTTATCTCTTCTATGGTTGTAAAAAAAAAAAAAAAAAAAAAAAAAAAAAAAAAGAGCTGTACGAATTTGTTGTGTGAAAAATAAATTCTCAAAATAATTAACACCTTTTGATCCTTATGTTTGGGGTGGGGGAGGTCTTTGGTTTTAGATTACAAAAGTCATCTTTGTTAGAGTTTTTATTGGATATCAGAAGAAAAAGAAAAGTGTTACCTATAAAAGGAGAGAAATGTAAACCTTTACCGGACGATAAGAATGTTCCTCCAACCAACAATAAGGCAGATATTGCCATGATCATTATGACGCATATTTTCATTTTTTTTTATGCCAAAATGTAAACCAAATCTTAACTCACAACTCTTGCATCTCATACCCTTCTAGTTAACCTCTATTTATATACATAAAACCCCATATATATTTTGCATGACATGCAACAGCTTAATTATTTTCGTGAAGGTGCATACAATATTCATTGATGGTTTCTCATACCGGCAATTAATAATATTAATTGACAATTAAGGTCAATTATGCACGCTAATGGATCTTGCCTTATCTGAAAGAATTGAAAAGAAACATTCGTGAAGCCTTTTTCACTCGTAACATATTCAATGTTTGTCTTATAATTTGGAACTTTGCAAATTAAACTCGTACATGGATTTATACTATTTGCAGAGGATCAAACTATTCAAAACTAACAGTTGAAGGATACTTTTCTTATAAATTAAAAAATGTTAATATAAATTTAAATAAATTATTTTATTACTATTGTTGTTTAAGTATATTTTTTTAGTTTTTATAGTAATTATTTATTATGCATATATCATTTTAAAAAAAAATAAACTAATTAAAACTCTATTTATATGATGTAATATTTTGATTTGAATATAATCGCCCATAGTGTATAAATTCTTATATGATTTATTATTAATTATTAAAAAAAATGATAAAATGAGAATTATTATTTTAAAATAAAAGAAAGAATATGGTAGTGATACTTAATTAGTAAGACCTGAAAAATAAAATTGTTACAAGCGATTATTAATATTATTATAGGTTATTTAATTTGAATTTGTTTAAATATACAATTAATGAATATGCTAATTTGCATATTATTTTAACTTTCGGTCATATATATTTTTAAATTAGAAATCCTAAAATTATATCAACGTATTTGTAAAATGATTAATCGAGTAGAATTTATAATTTCAAAAATTAAAATTAAAAAATAAAAAATTATTTAATATGGTATTTTTTTTGCCATAATTATTTATAAATTGAAAATTAGTTTATTTTCAAAATTATTATTATAATAATTATTTTCTTAACAATTCTTTTCTACAGAAACTGCTTTCATTAAAAAAAAATTGTTGTTTAATTATTTTTTCAAATTAGTTGGCTGTGATTTGGACTAATGAGAATAATTAGTATTAATTTTTGTAACAACTCGTTATGATCCTTACACTTCACGAATCAACTAATAAGAATAATTGCTATTTTAATTTTTGTAAGAACTCATTATGATCCTTACATTTCACGAATTAACTAGTAACAGCCGAAAACATATAAGTTCGTATTTAGGTTAACATACAAGTGATATTATATACTTACATGTGTGAATATTTTGTATAAACATTTGAAGTATATATGTATACACAATTATCCAAAAACTGTAATGTATAAACCTAGGTTATTGGTCAAGTAACTTTACAACACCAAACTCCGGCCTAATCGTGCCATACTCCCCATATGCAAACATGATCATTACTGTCCAACCATAAGAAAACATGTAATAAGGGTAAACTAGTATACAAAAGAATAACCATATATCAAGTATAGGAGCACACACAACTTTATTATCAACACCAATATGTAAACCATACAACACAACAATAATGTGTCTTGCAACTAGCACATCAACATGACATTCAACACCTTAAGAAGATAAATAACTCCATCACATTGCAACATATTTCAAATTTCACCACCACAATTCCATTTAACCACTATCTAGATAACATATTAAACTACAACACAACAACATATCATTTGTGTAACATCTTTTTTTTTTTTAAAAAAAATAAATAATAAATTAATTAGAATAGTTAGAAAATATAAGAAGAATATTTTATTAATAAAAATAAAATGGGGAGAGCCAATTGAAGATTTTGGGCTAGACTCCATGCTCAACCCAAAGACTAATTCAAAAGACGAAATAGAAAAGAGTTAGGTCATTTTCACTCATTTTGAAAAACCTAGAGCACTGATAGGAAGAGACTTAGAGGAAACAGTTAGAGGAGGCATCGATTAACAGTAGAAGATACTAGAGAAGCATCATTCTAGGAGAATTTTTGCTCCAGGTAAGGGGAAGTTAGATTATCAGGTCCTTATACATATATGAGGGATGAGGGTAGATAAGCAATCCTTAAGCCTCATATGTTGTCAATTTTATGGGCAATTTCTTGTGTACGAGATTGACTGCAAGTATTATTTTTCCATGCTAAGATTCTTATGTTGTTCTGAATTATTTAATTTGATATTGAATTTATGCATTTTGAGGGTTAAGTTTATTATGTATTAAATTGAGAGTTTTTGGGACTAAGATATGATGGTTTGATTGTGTTATACAGTTACTTGAATATAAAGTCGGAATGATTGATCGAATGGATTTTAAATTGAAATGCTTGATGATTATGTGTGAATTGGAAAGAAGAAAATCCCGTAGATCATAAGTCTGTGAAGTGCGAATTCTACAATCGCGCCAAGCATGAAAATGGTCACACTGGGCACAAGGCTGCCAAAGAGGTCCCAAACCTCTTGGCACTAGGTGTAAGGTGTTGCGCCCGATGCCATTTGACGTCAATTTTTATGAGCATGATGATGTTAGACGTGACCTAGACTACATTGAGCGAGATTGAGACTGCTAGAGAGGTTCCAAAACTTGCCATGTCAGGCGTGAGTGATCCCACACTAGGCGTGAGTTTGGCAAAGAGGTCCCTAACCTATTTGTGTCAGGCATGAACCCATTCTTGTCAGTCTCCATGCCTTTTTCCATTTTAAGATGTTCTATTTTACTAATTAATTAATTATTAAATAAGGAACCATGAGAAAGGATTGATATTGTATACTAAGAAAAGTAATTAATGAGTAATCATGTGTAAATTTATGAAATCTACTATGCTATATATATGCTAATAAGAGTGATGTTAAGATACCGTTGAATGATTATGATGGATTATATGATGATGTATATTGTGAAAATATTGATGATAAGACGTGATGAATAAGTCCAATGTTGTGGACTGACACTCGAGGATTTGAGTATGCATATTGATGGAACCAACTTCTCCATGAGGGATAGTGATTGGTTCCTTCACTTATCCAAGGATGATATGACGTGAAGGATGATCTATTCAAGGGTAAGGAAGTGGTGGAGATAGTGTTTAGGGAGGTGGAAGGTGACGCTCAAAATAGAGGAGAGGAAGAGGAGGTGTTTGGTGGTGTAGGTCCTTTAGGCTTGCTCACTTCACTTAGGATGATGAAGGTCAACCGAGGAAGACCCAAGCTCACTTAAGGAAGAAAGGAGAGGATATGGGGTCATGGAGTTCCTAGGGGACTAAGGAAGGAATAAAGAGGCACAAGGCTCAGTCAATATTAATAATTTTCAAAGTGGCTACAAGGTGGATGACCTAGAGTACTTATAGAGAGAAAAGGCATCTAGGGTTTCTTAGGAGCATTTGGCTGAAATTTTAAGGTCCAAATACACCCTAAATGCAGCCCAAATGAAATGGCTCTCATCTCTTCTAAAAGACTAAAGTACTCTTAGGTCTAGAAAAAGAAAGAAATGGACTTTGACCTTCTAAATTAAGGTTTAAGTCCTAAAATAAATCCTAAGACTAATTTTGCCCCATAATACAAAGGCTAAATATAAATACAAAATAAAATCCTAATATTTAATGTAGCCCAAAATACAAGGGCAAAATAGGAAAAGAAAACAACAAACTAAGGAGAAGGCTCAAAATCCACACACATGATGATTATGGCTCTTGGTGTGGTGTGTCCATCATCTTCCTCTACTTTCCTAGCCATGGACCTTGTGATAGACCTTATATGATGCTTTAAGGATGGTCCTCCATCATGCTCTCCTTCTTGAGAAGGATTTGATCTCAAATCGTCATCCTCATCCATGTCATTAGTCCCTACAAAATGTGTAAGATCACACATATTAAAATAGGAACTAACTCCATAATCGGAGGGAAGGTCTAGGATGTATGCATTGTCATTAATCCTTCTAAGAACTTGGAAAGGGCCATCTCCCCTAGGGCTTAGTTTGGACTTCCTTTGAGTAGGGAATCTATCCTTTCTCAAGTGAAGCCAAACCCAATCTCCAACTTCAAAGGTTACCTTTTTCCTCCCTTTGTTGTTGTACATGGCATATTTTTTGGTTTGTTTTTCAATTTGGCTCTTGACTTTCTCATGGTATTTTCTTATAAATTCAGCCCTAGATACTCCTTCTTTGTGGTACAAGGAAGTAGTATTAGGGAGTGGGAGCAAGTCAAGAGGGGTAAGGGGATTAAAGCCATATACAACCTTAAAAGGAGATAGGTTAGTAGTCTCACTACTACAAGACACATTTTTTACATCAGTTCCGTGAAGCCATCTACATCGATTCTGAAACCGATGTAGAATAGAGCGACATTAAAAATATATAGATTTCTACAACGATTCTGAGAACTAATGTAGATTAGAACATAAATCTACATCAGTTTTGCTGAAAATCGATGTAGATTTATGTCCTAATCTACATCGGTTTTAGGTGAACCGATGTAGGTTCTGCTTCTTTTGTTTCTTTTCCTGCCACTCTTTGATATCAACATCTATTCTTGCTTTCACCTTTATAATCTAAGAAAATTATTGTATTTTCATGAATGGCTGCAACTTGAAATTTTCACAACTAAATAATAAATACAACAGCTCGACGTGATACTTTTAAACCATCTTAATTAATTACTTGACTAGAGAATCCTAATATATAACATCTATTCAAAAGTTAATATTAGCTTATATATATGTATATATTTGCAATTAATAAATAAGCAGGATGAAGGAAAAAGATGGAGATGGAGACGTTTAATCTGATAAGTTTCAATAAAATATTTCCACTATTTGAAATCATTTGTCATTTTAAGAATCTATCTAAAAACATTTCCCTTATTTAAAGGGTCCCAAACCAAAGTGACATAAAGAAAGATTGAGCACAACATTGGAAATACTTACGACATTATCATAACAAAA